CTTCCACACACCGAAACCCATTTGATATTACTAATTTGTTCAGCTTTAGCAAGTGTGAACACAACGAATGTTCAGGTTTGTGCTGAGTAGTAGAAAAACATTTCATATCGTCGTTGGGCGTTTAATAGTTTCATGTGTACCAAAATGAGTTGTTACCAAAAATTGGTTTCTCGTTTTTTTTTTCATATCCGAAATGGAGTGTTGCAAAATTGTGTATAAAATGTGAAGCAATGCTTGCTTATATTGAGGAAATATACCGCGAGATCGCGTGATACACCAGTTGAGTTGATTTTTATGTCGAACAGTAGAAGCGTATGACAAAGTTACTCTTTTTTAAACGTACATTTGTTTTCGAATGTTTTCTTTCAAAATCGACCAAAATTACTATACTATAAAGCAAATTTCCCACTTGAATCAAGTTCGGTGATTTTCGTATACATGATTTGTTTGTGAAATACGAATTTTTGGAGAATTCGTATTGCAAAAAAAAATAAAGAGAGAGACGAAGGAATGGTGTACAAACACGAGTACCGCACATTTATTGGCCACGTACTTTTTTTGTAAATAAATAAACGATGATGATTCATTTGCCAAAGAAAATCGTAATAAAATGTCACACGCATATAAACAAACATAACAGTAATAAGCTTAAAGTCCACAACCAACAATAAATAGTTTCGTTATGTACAGAGTCATAAATTTTTTTATTACTCTCTCCCTTATACTATGGCTACGAATGTTTTGAACACAAATAACGTTGAAATAAACATGAACATATGCAAAGCAAGAGTTCTGTAATCATGCAAAGTCGCTGTGGGAGACTATCCAAGCGCTGTGATCGGTTTATGAAATATAATCAAAGAAATTTCTTTTATGGAAGCCAAGCCAAGCCAAGCCAAGTCAACGTTCTAATTATAGTCGAAGCAGATTGTGTTTTGGCCGCCGATTTTCATCATATATATGCATATAAATGTAATCGAAAGTGAATGAAATGTGGCGCTCGAAATTGATGACCGTCTAGCACCTACATTACGTTTGCTTCATATTAGAAATATTTTTAAGATCCACGGAACTCCGATTACAATGAACGCTATTAGGGTTTTGGAATAAGTTCAGTTGAACGTGGAATTCTATCCCACTAAAATTCCTGTTTTTCGCAAAATATACTGAGAGCTCCCGACTTATTTGGTTGACTTATGAAATTGGAAAAGCTGTTTTTTTTTCTCGTAAAACTTCATTAATTTATACTTTGAGTTTAGTGCACGTTTTATTCGATTAATATTAGCGTCTACCATGGGTGAGATATTTGTTCGATTAAAAGTACCACCGTAAATGAGCAGGTTGTGCAATTAACTCGAAGATATTTTAAATCGCTACTTTCGCTTGAAATTGCTTTTATTGTTCACAAACTTCCAGCAAAATATTGTTCTTATTGAACATTTAGCATGCATTAAAGTAGGTCATTGAGCCGATGGTGTTGACATTTTGCTTTTCGGTGTTTACTTTTCATTTTGTTTTGGCTTGTAGGCTCATTAAACTTGTTCCTTGAGAATTAACTGAACGAGCACTTCTAGAAATGCACACTTTTCTTGTGTGTACATATAGTCTTCAGCAGACGCAGTAGCGGTAAGCATTACACTAACACATACTCCGCGGAATATTCGTGTCTAATGAAAAATAATGTAAATATTTGTGTGTGTGTGCACAAGTTGAAATTTTCGTTCAAGTCAAATGCTAAGTTAGGCTTTTTACTGGTTAGATAAAACTGGCATTGACTGGTGCGTGTGTTTTTCATACAGAGAAACCTTGAAAATAATCACAACTTTTCATTTGTCGTTGGAATAAACTAAGTTTAGTAAATTTTAAAACTTAAATAAGCGTCAAGCTCGCCTAAATTAAAGATTGTACAATGAACATGATTGTAAAATACACAGTGCGAACTACTTTGTTTCCAATAAGTTACTGTTACAGTGGTAGTGGTGGTGATGTAAGCGCAAGACATTTCGTCATTTATGTGTATAGAAAATAGTTTTTCTGTTGTAGTTGTTTCAAAGCTGTGTGACACTTCAAGCACACGGAAGGTGAAACGAACAAACTAAAATGTGACTGGTGCCCATATTCGTTGTATTTCATTTTTGTTCACTACAAAAATGACGTACATTGCTTTCATGTTGCACTCATTGAAAATGGATTTATGTGGCCTGTATCGATATCTACACTTCTGAAATTATCTACCACCTAACACTAATCTATGTATTTTATTGTACTGATTCGTTCGTGTATCATGGAAATCTATCTTTTCCACAAATGCTGATTCATTTCTTATTTCTACCCAACGGGCATTCTGAGTTCTGAGCACATAACGCTATATAGAAAATAGATGAGTGAATGAGAATTGCATGGCACACTAAAATGCTAAGCGTTCGGTGCACGAAACATGTTAAAGTGATAAATATATATATATATTATATATATATATAAGATACACAACGAGATTTGATGCATTGTATTACAATATTCACCGATCACCCGATTACCATACACACACACACACACACAAGCAATAAGCAGTAAAGTAAAACGTGTTTCATTAATTTATGTTTGCATTAAAAAAGACAGTGCGCTAAGCAACTAAGCATTTGGCTTGTAGACCAGTTTTTATTTGTCGTGAATAACAGCAATTCGAGAGAAATTCTATGTGTATTTGTGATGCTAAGTTTATTTACATAACGAAAAAATAACATGCACGATCCACTTTGTTTATTTTAACGCTTTCGCATTTTCAGTCGTGCTTCGATTTATTCTTTCTTACTTTTTTCTTCTTCGATCGAAAATGAACGGCTTTATCAGTTAACATTCAAGAACTATACACACACACACACACACACGAATATGAAATCAAAACGAAAAATGAGATCATAATCATTTGTTTATGCCGTCACTTTTTTCTTCGTATGATCAAAGCACACATTTTAAGTGCATTTTTTTATGGATTACATACCGCAACGAGATATTCATAACAAAATATTGCACGGCATGCATTTGCCTGCTATTGCGCATACAGTTTACAAACTGCGCAGTTCAATGCTGTTATTTGCGGCGACAGTACTAACCGTATGAAGTCAAAACAAATAAATCCCGTATATCCGTAGATCAGTTTTGTTTTTAATGTAAAATCGAAAATGTTTGCGACGCGAAATCGAATAGTCGAAAATGTCCAACAACAATACCATAAAACACATGAAGACTGAGTTTTGTTTCTTCGGTCTGCTTTCTTTCAATTTACCGATTATCGTGTAAAACAAGTGATTCAAATCAGACGTCATTCTGAACGTTTGAGCCATTTATTACGCTTATTCTTCATTCTACATTTCATTCTTGTTTGTTTTTTTCCACTGTTGGATTTGGTTTTCTGTTTGAACACTACAATCAATAGGATGCGAGCATTATACATTAGCATTTGAATAGCTGGTAAAGAAACAGTGAGTGAAATTTCATCCTATAGTGAAGAGAAAATGTGGTGCAATTCGTCTTACTTCGTTCTAAATGTAATTCCATTATAGAAGTTTGAATGAGAAGATGCATGCAAAAAGAATAGAGAAAACAAGATGCCAACATCCGGAGAGTACATCGTATGGCGAAAAAAAAATCCTTTTAACTAATTTGTAAATAATAATAGAGTAGCTACCACGTTCACGTATTCATTGCATTCATTCTCTACAATGCGTCCGATAATGTAATAGTATGAAGATTCTTCATTGAAGAACAAATTTCGGAAAATGCTATGAAAGGCATCTAGATTCATTCTTCGAACCAAACAAAACACTTGAAAAAACTGATTGCTTTTACTTTGTAATGACATGCTTATGGAAATGAGGGAACGCCGTGATACCGTTTCGTACCGCATATTATAAACGTTCATACGATTGAATTCAATTTAATACGAGATTTATACAAATACTTTTGACAGACAGCATTTAATGCAGTGGCATTAGTGCGTCCATATCATATACATACACACGCCACACGCACACAGTCACGCATAGTCCAACTGAAAGGTCACACGCCGGATTGTTATGAGTGTCTATCAAATCGTGAATAAATAGATCAAATAAGCGTTACGTCGTCGCCATGCAGTCGACATAATCACGAAACGATTATATCGAAATTTTTCGGATCGTAAAACGGAAGTTCATTTGTTGGTTTATTATTATCGATAAGATTGGTACTTATACGAGATTATCTTCGATTTCGCTTACAGAAGCTTACTGCAAACAACATCAAACCTAGGAATTTTATTATTCATGGTCTAGCTGCGGCTCTAATCAACATTCAACAGGATTTTACTATATTCTAGAACAAACGAGCTACGTGTGATTTTTCATATTTCAATGTCTTCGATTTCTTAGGTGGCGACGAGTTAGGTTTCATCGCTTTTAATTTCTTAAAATGACGTTTTGAGTTTGCAGTCACAATATGTGTGTCACATCAAGAGATAAATGCAGTTTAAATATCATGTATATCACATACACATCGTGACATATCACTGACACCGCTACACAGTGCACAGTCACAGTCACAGTTATCTTTCACATAGATTGGATTAAGTAGCCCGTTGAAAATCGTCAAGAGCTGATATTAAGTGTATTCACTAACACGGCAAAGTGATAATAACTTCATCTACTCCAAAGCTACCAAACGCATAGTCTATTGAATGTGTTTTGAAAACCTTCGTGCAAGTCCATCGACCTAATGAGTGGTTTATTTCCTAACAGCATTTTTCGTTCAAAGGAAATCGAAAAACGACCCCAATGCATTCGAGTTAAATAAACACATTCCGTTCAAAAGAACGTACACTTATATGCAAATGCATTGTTTCAAAACTTTGGTCTGCGATTGGTGAAGTTTTAAATCAACATCTACTGTTCAGAAAATATTTGGCGCATGCACATTTCTAGATGAAAATGAACGAAAAAAAAGTGAATGATTAAAAAACTTACCGTAATTCCCATTAGAAGAACACCGACTCAGAAAATGTGAGCGGGCGAGAGAGAGAGAGAGAGAGAGAGAGAGAGAGAGAGAAAGAGAGAGCTGTGGAAGCTGATGGACCAACTCAAGTTAATACGGATTGCAATATCAACACTTGGTCACGTATTAATAAAGCATCAATTCTAGCGTGCGTGTTTCAAATGTAATGGCATAACACATATTAACTCTGTTTTGGTGCTGGCACGTTCGTTCCTTCTCTGTATATCTGTTTAGCATGCAAGCTGTTGATCTCAGTTCCTTTTGCTCTTTTGTGTTCTCTCTATCAAAATTCTCTTCGAATTTTTATTTTCTTCCACAAACTTGTGCTCTCGAAATTTTCCCTTTCTATTTCTTTATTTTCACGTTTTGAGTATTAATTTTTCCAGTCTTTTAGTGTTTTAGAGTTTAATTTTGTTTTTGTTTCTTTTTTTCTCACAATTTTTCACTCATCGCTTGTCATTTCTCCTAATGAAGAAATAAAAATCATCAAAATATCTTTTATCAATATCTCACAAAATTCTCTTTTGTCTTTCTTAATAGTTCAGCATTTAATATCAAGAAAACTCGGAAAGAAAACAAACTTAAAGTAGTGCTGACTCACTACTAAATCCACTAGTATGAAAGGCGAAAATATTAATACACTGAGAAAATAATCAAAGCTCGAATCGGTGGAAATTGACACGAAAATTGAAACGATGAAAGCGCTGACTATTTAATAATTTCTTTAGCTAGGGAATAAAAACCGGTCCGAAAATTATTTGAGTTGTTTTATTGCAGCACAGATTATTTAACACTTTTCATAGATGATTTGCCTTCGATCGATGCGATTTGCATTGATTTTAATAAACAACACATATGGGAAAGAAACAATTGTTTTCATTGGTTTATTCAATATTGCTTGTGCATTCGTCAATCGTGAGGCTGTCGTCGAACAGATCGAATCCTCTTGTCAAATCATCTAAAAGTACAAATAAAATAAACCAATTAAACTATGCAATTGAAAATGGGTTGTATGACAAAGTGAGATGGAAAAAAAAATTAGAACAAAATTGGGAGCAAAATCCCATATAAATTTTATCTCGTTTTTGCTCCGAAATTTTTGCATGGACACAAAGTATGCCCCAGTGGAAACTGCATGACCATTGAGTCACATCACAGAAGCTTGCACAAAATTGATTTCATTTCCCATTACTCAAAACTTAAAAAAACAGTCCAACCTAATTGATAAACCATATGTAACGAAAAAAAAATTAGGGATACACAAAGCATCACTAATCAATTTTGGTGGTGTGTTGGAATATCGTAGGGATTGAAGCTCTTGCTTCTACCATTTTTTCCCTTCAATTGATATTGTCCGGTGCTATTGACCAGTGAGCGATATTCTTATCCATTGTTTCTTGTTGCCTTTTGTTTATATTCCAAGAAAACTGTATACAAATCAACCCGTGCAAACAGCACCGTAGAAAAACGCATCAGTTATAGCAAATATAAATAAAATATTTTGAAATAAATAATAATGGGCAGTATTCGGTGCTGTTTTTATTTGGACTTATGAATTATTCTCAATTCATGTGGTTATGGTGAAGAGGGAAATACTAAAACTGTGTGATAGTGTTGTATACAAAAGTGAATGCTGGAGAAAGAACAACGCCCAGTTTCCTATACAATCTCAAAAATGTACCCGAGAACAATTTAACTGAACGACGATGATGGCAGTAATCAAAGATTCCAAAATGCTTACTATCTAGCGCTACCCTGTGCAAAATTTTCAAACTCAGGCGCCTACTACAAAAATCGGGCGTTAAAATAACGCAATCGGCGCCTGAAAATAGGGAATTCAGCAAAGGACTTTTCTATATAGCAGTCATCTTTCAATCTCAGCCAGTAATAAAACATCGACGATTTTTTTTCTTTCATAAAACGCAAAAAAGCGAATCGAATGGGCTTTGAAAACGAAACCCATTATACCAATTTTGATATTTTATCACTTCCCGTGGAGTATACATGTAGGTCACACAAATATGTTTTGTGTCTTATCAGTATCTATAACATTGGCGCCCCACAATCCATATTCTCTGAAATTTCTACAATAGATGAGTGTTTTTTGTGTTCACATTGCGAAATATGTGATATAAAACCTAAACTGTTTATAACATCAGATATCAAATAGAATATTTGGCTGAATGGCTTTCCGTAAATGGTGTTTTGGAAAAGTGAAGAAAAAAAAACGATTGTCATTTACTCAATTCAACGCTCCACAAATACATAGCAATACCCTTTGAATTCAATATTAGATTAGGTGGGGTCAAACTGTTTGGCTATAAAATTCGACCACGACATTCACGTATAATTAAAATCCAAATAAAACTTGAACTTCGTACAAACTTCGCGTCACCTAATTGATACGGATAAATTATGAAAGTAAGTTCAAATCATATTGAATTTACACTGAAAAGCGAATTGATAACAAATGAATGCGTTCACGGTACTTCAACATACAAGAACGATTGAAAAGTAGAACAAAACAGCGAAAAATGGGCAAGAAGTATCAATTCACTATTAAAAATGTGAAAATCTAATACGTGTGCGATTCGAATCAAATCGCATAATTGATGGTCTTATAAAGAGGTACGTGCGTAAAACAAATTAACCTTTATTGTAAACAGTAATTAAAGAATTTCCGTTTGCGAACGTATATGGTACTACAAACAAAATATCACATATCAGTCAGATACCTTAATATCTATCTCTCTTATCTCTACATTTCGATTCTCTGTATACTTGCAGGTATATATACCTGTGTGAATACGGTGTATATACCAACTATGTAATAATTTATTTGTTGAAATACCTAAAAGTTACATTTGCCTGCCATTCAGCTCATGCAACCCTTTTTCATGCTGTTCTATCTCTCTTATACATCTTCTTCGTCTTCGTTACATTTTTGCATCATAAATCACAAACTTAAACCGAAACGGTAATCATTTTCCATTTTAATCGGATTTCAATGATTTTGAATGGCAGAGTAGTCGAAAATTGCAAAGTGTATGATGGTACATCCAAAGATTCTCTAGCAGAGACAATACTCCGATTCTGAGCGTTTCGAAGAATTGAAGAAGATGCATTTAAATGAAATAGCCGCACTACTTTCTTTGGGCATGTTGAACGATTTTTCACGATGTGTACCGTCTTATCATTTTATTGAATTAATTTGTTAACATAAAAGGATCACCACACGGTGAAAAATGGCGATTTTATGATGATATTACGTTCAGTTATTAGCTTGAACATTTTTTCAAAGATATTTCTGTGTAAACAATTCCAAGCACTAGCCGGAATACTGGTGAGTTATTTGCTTGGTATGAAACATGTGGAGAGTTATGAAGCCAATAACGTTCGCAATGAATTAAAGAGCTAACAAAAGACGTTTCGTCTTAGCACAGATTCATTCATTCCGCTAGATTAACTTGGCGGGGAGACAGGGAGAGAGAGAGAGAGAGAGAGAGAGAGAGAGAGAGAGAAAACCAGCTTCACGCATAGATTGAAAATTTCATGGAATGTTGCTTTGAAATCTGCTCAAAATATATGGATAGCTACTAGCAGCGGCTTTATGTCATATATATTTAAATGAACGAAAATTCCTTTCATTTCTAGACTTTTTTTTCATTTAGAAAAACATTTCATGGATTTTTATCGAGGCAGTGAATGTCATTCAAAGAATTTGGTTGTATATTTCCGAAGCCGATAATTACTATTATTACGGAAAGGTATTTGAAAAAATAATTATTGTAACGGACCCATTTTCATTAAATACTGAACGTTTTTCCGCTTTTTTATCCAATGACTACGATTCTGATCATTGGTACAACCGTGGCGAATTATGTGATTTGTTGAATAGTATCCACACCCGAACAAAATCATTCCTAAAAACGATGGCACAGATACACTCAGTCGAAAGTGTATATTTACTGAAATTGTTATATTTTTTGTTGTTCCTAAACATTTATGTCTATGTTTAATTTTAAATCGTCGTGTTCTATTTTGCGGTTGTCATACTCATTATCGAATATTAATTGTGCACTTGAACCTGAGGAAAGGGTTAACGAATTTTCATTGGATCGCCTCTTTGTTCATTTCAGATTGAAATGTGAGTAATTTTAAATGCCATTGAATTTGGTTTTTCTATATATGTATATACATTAAATGTCATAGCAACAGCACGCCAACAAAACAATCAAGCAACACAACAACGTTGTGAAACGGTAACAACACATTGAAACGATCATATGATAACAAATAAGCGATTCCAATTCGAATGAATCGTCGAGTTACTAGACATCAACAATCGAACTGTGGTAGCAACAATGCTGTATGCAGCTTTACACGATTCAAACACTAAGTGCAGGCAAGGTAAGGCAAGGCGTAGCCAACAAAATTTTATAGCTTACACTCAAATAAACTCTTTTCTTTCTCTGTTGTTCTGATTTATTTTATTCGTATATAATTTTCGGTCGGAACTAATTAAACTACCTTTTGAAATAAATTCAACACTTTTCCAAATGCTGCTGCTGCTGCTGCTTCTATCGCGTATCATCACTTTTTCGTCTTACACTTCTTAACAATTTGTAAATAACATCTCATTTGATTCCAATCGGAATGCAAAATAACATTCTTCGTAATGATTATTTGTTTTTTTCGCCAAATTTTAGATTGTGCGGAATATTTCTTGTTGTTTTCTTCTGCTTTGCAATTGGAACGTAAGCACTTTTCATAGGTTTAAATGTTGTTTTCTGATTGTAATCGTGTTTTTCCATCAATTTGGGAATACGGGTTATTAGTCTAAAATCACATACACAAACACACAACACTTGGCTACCAATAATTTGGTAAACATTATTTAGTGAACAGTTCGATGAAATTTACGCCGCGCGAAATATTTCACAAGAGTACGACGAATACGAACAAAAATATTCCATCCACCTGGACCGATTGCTGTTTCTCTACTAAACTCTCTCTGTGTGCTATACAGCGCTGGGCTGTGTGTGTTTCAACACACATCGCTTCGTATCGCTTTGATACGTAATCGAATCGCGCTATAATACATTGCACATACACGGTGTGTGTGTATACACACTGGCAAGCGAAATTTAAATGGCTTCCATGCCCGTATACCGTATAGCTTTGACAGTGTATATGTTTTTTGTCCACGATGTCATTCGCGCTGTATTACTTCGTTCGAACCGTTCCTATATATGCTCAACTGTGCGCCCTATCGAAAATACAAGATGTGTGGCGGCTACTGCTGCTGATGCTGCTGCTTCATGATACCTTGCAAGATGCATTCATTCCAAACACGTATCTCGGTTTGAATGTATCGCGTGCTTTAATCAAGACCAATGCCGCAAATCACAAGCAACACAAATGCAATGTCACAAATGAAACGGGATTAGAAACATATTTTTGTGAATATGATAATAAAATTGCCAACATCGCGGAATAGAAGGAGAAGTGTATTCAAAAATGAAAATTGTTCAAAATGTTGAAAAAAATTCTACTTGCAAGTTTTATCCAAGTAGAAAACGAAGCGCGTTCTTATTAGTATTGGATTTTCTCTCTCTCTCTCTCTCTTTCTCCCTTTCTTTTGGTTCTGTTTGATCTGGTTTGCGTTATGTGTCTTAAACATTGAGCCATAGCCCGAATTCCACTCTTTATTATTCCCAACCATACGTATTGGTGCGGCGGACGTGTAGACGCATAAACGTATATTTAAAAGCGACCCATTCAATGGAAGAACGTATGCAAACCGTACGCACGCCGTATAAACTGAATGTCTGCGCATTGTCTCGGTCGATGAACATACAAAAGAGGGGAAAAACATTGAGCAGAAGAGAGTTAGCTACAGCATAGACGTACACAATTTAGACATCGACTACTCGATACCATACGTTATTTAACATGTTTGCTCTCTTCGTTTTTCTCTCTGGGTGAGAGAGAGAGAGAGCAAAGGCTACGCATCATGGTCTGTGGGGAAAAGAAGAACGCCCGCATTTTTTCCTTCTTTTTTGTTTGTGTGAAGTCTTAACATCAAATGTCAATTGTCAATTACTGAATTCTGGCGCATCCTTTATCATTTTTGTCGCGAAATACATGCAGCCACTAAATATATGATATGGACCGAAAAAATTGGCCTTTTATTAGAGAGTTCTGAAAGCCGATTTATTTTTATATTGAGATAATAAAACAGCGTTTTCAGTCCAAAGGTTCCCAATTTTTATTTGCAGGCCATCCGTTCGGACTTTATATATATAATAGACACGATACCTTCTTCCATATTCCAGTGTTTCAATATTTGTTTGGAAAAATGTTTTGTTTATTTATTCGTTCGGACTCAATGCATGTACTTACATCCGAATTGGAGCTGCTCACGGTTCAAAAACTCTAACGAACATGAACGGTTTGGTTTGATGGGCACATCTAATCCGAATCTAGCACATATATCGAATAGAGGATATTCACATCGAAGGAAAAATCAGTTGTTTCATACAACAAACAAATACTCTACAAGATTTGCAGATAATGAAAACTCCTTTTATTTATATCAAATCAAAAGCAACACAATGAATAAGATTTTCAGCTGAGGCAACGCAATTCATAAGTCATAACAATAAAAATGGATAAGTAACGATTTGGTCAAAGGAGCAGAAAGAAATAACCCGAATTAAACGTACCCAATAACAGGTTGAGAATGATATGATTCACATGATGTGAATGTATGAACTGAACAAACAAGACTGATGGAATGGATATATGATGCCGTCCAAGGTGCCATTGATGAAAGGAGAAGAGTGACACACCAAAAAGTAGAGAAAAAGAAACTCAAACAAAATATTTTTTACAAAATCACACATCTATTTAAACTGCTTTTGAACGCCGCGACGTGTCAATCGCGATTCGAATGAATGAACGTTTTTATTGCTGCACATTCAATATGCTGCAGCCAAAAAGATATCTGTGAATATAAAGGGAAAAAATCGTGAATAAAGAAAGAAGAACAATGCATTCATTTGAATAAAACGCATCTTTCCATCATTTTCAGCGCAACTCCATATATACCTTTCATGAATTTTCAAAGTCATCCGTCATCTCCGGAGTGATGAAAAGCAATGGAATTTTTTTAGTCTCCAATGTAAATATTGAAGATGAAGTAGAGAATTTATTAAATGGACGAGAAAAAAGTAATGGCCAAGGCTTTATTATGCTGAGAATAAACAAACCATAACAACAACAGAACTCTACTAAAATCATGGCAGTCTATAGGCAGGTACGAAATTGTAACAGAAAGACTGGACAAACTGCCGCATTCGGATCAAACCACGTCATGCCCTTAATTCTAACTTACAAGTTGGAAAAGAATTTTCGCACAAAAATTTAGCATATTTTTGTCACAGATTTGCCCAAAGAAAAAACTTCCTTTGTTTTAAGGTGCACCATTCGTATGCCGACAGGTAGAAAACACAACGAAATAAGAATAACATCGAAAATGGAGATCGAAATTAGTATTATATGGATTTTCGTGATTTGGCCATATTAATGTGAGCATGCGAACGTTAATGAGTTGATACGGACGTTTTTGCTGTCTGCATATTTTGTTAAGTATCGGTGACTGGACACGGATAGTCGTAGCTACGCTTTAACCTTCGCGTTTCGATGTTCTTTTATTATTATTTTCATTTTATTAGATGCAATAATAAGGGGTTCGAATTCGAGAGCATTGTTATTTGATTGCAATATAATTTGGATGGGATGAATGTCCTAACGGACATCAAAGTTGCAATAAGATATGGACTTGATAAATTATTTTTGTTGTTGACCGCGATATTTCTGTGTATAGATGCACATTTCCACGAAATTTTTGATACAATCCTAAATTATTATATGACATCCGGCGTATACTGTAATAAAAAATATGTAAACTGTTCGTCACTTTTCTTTCTTTTGCGTTTCATCCATTTTTTGTGCTCAAATTATCGAAGAAATCAGTTTCAATGTAGTTGCCATCCCGTGTGAAAGTATTTTGACTGACGGACTGTCCGAAATTAAGCGACTGACTGAAAGATGTCTAAAGCTGACTATTTTTTTTCATACAAAATTCCATTTTTCTTCAAATCATCTTTGAATTGAATCACCTGTAATCGATTTAAGCAATCAGCCAGTCAGTCAAAACATTCTTGTCTACTACATTAATAAATAATATAGCAGGTTCTGGTGAAAATGATAAACGCTGTCCATGATTCTTTATTTTCGATGAATGCATGAATATAAACAGGTCAACTTAATTTTTGGTTGATCTGTCAAACGAACCGCAAAATTCATAAAACATATTAGGTTTAATTGGAGAATGAGATATGTTCCAGTTGAGTCCATTGTTGTGTGGTCAATGATATGAATATTGATATATGTGGTTCTTTTGTTCCATCCCCGTGACTAAAACAGAAATCCTTTTGATGTTTTTGAACACGGCATTTTCAATTAATGTGCCCTGACTCTCGCATCAATTATGCAAATAAAGAAATAATATTTGCAATTTATTTTTTTGTCATTTTCTGTTTTACATTTGAAAACAATAACAATAAACATTTAACGGCACATTTCAAAAGTGTTGGTGCTATTTTATTTTTAAAAGTGTTTATTTAATTTTTCTATTCTCCAATTATTGAACGAACTAACAAATAAATAAATAATAATGATAATAAATAGGGTGTTTTCAATAGCTATACTTGAAATGATTCAATATGTAAGTCGAATGTTCTTTCGGTATTTCCCATTTAGAAATTATGTCCAAAAATCATGTAAAAGTCAAAACATAAATGATTTGGTCACCGTTCGATTGTGTCGTGCTCTTTTCTGAACAATTTTTCTTGATTGTTGACAAGATTATTTCTTCCCAATTATCATTCACGTATTATTACTGTGTAACCGACAACTGTCATTGTTATTTCATAATGTTTGATGAAAAGTTATGAGAGACCATTACTATATTTGTAGCAATGAAACACATTATTCGATCTAGAATTTCACAAAAGATTAGTATTAGACTAACGCAAATAATTGAACGATGTAAAAATATTAAACAATTAAATATTTAGTGTGTTTTATATTGACCGTATGATAGGTATCAAATGAAAGTCAAATTTATTTTCGTTCGATTACCTCGAAGTTTGTCAACAATTTATGAAATCATTTCGTGCATATATGAACATGTAATCGTGTATGTTGAAAGATTGATAGTCTAGGTTAGAATTTGGATCATTGTACAAGTACACAGGTATACACCGCAAAGCACGTGCACCGCTTTGCTTGCAAGAATGTTTCAATATTAAAGTTATCTGATACCGAACATATGCGTTTCGGACATGGAGAGCAGCACAGGAAACGGTTTTTTTTATAATATAGAAATGATTGTTCACATCAACGAATGTTTATAGTATCATTGATTGCTACCATATTTTCAATATTTTTGATACAAAATCATTACCTCGTTCATTTTATGAATCCTTTACACACAATAGAGGTATGAAATACATCAAACTGTAGAACCTCACAAAACGCCACTTTCGAGAAAAAGCAACCGATCTACGTGCGGTGGGTTTTTGAATGAATGGACGCGGAACTGTCAAGTGACTGGACCAATGCTTATGATAGAAAGCCTCAGAAGAAGGCCCCATCAACTTGTGCCATCCACAAAATGAGGCTCTACTGTACACTGTATTCAGTTCATATCGGATTTTATATGTAACATTCATTTTAAATGCGAACTTCTAAAGTCAACTAACAAAATAAAATGCTTTTTCAATGAAAATGAAAAAAAAAATTAAAAAAAAAATGCTTACACAAGCTTTAAAAGTTAATTTGAGGCCATATTGCGAGATCAATGTTAATTACTGAAAAATAAATGCGAATATCACTAGTGCATCCCGCCGTAGAAACGCTGTATGGGCAAATGTCGTCTTTTTCCCTTTAAAAATCGTTGGACTGCTACTTTTTTTTCACCTCAATAAATATATGTGGATATTTTGCGTCGGTGTCCGCTATAGCGTACACTCTGTTTCGTCGCATTCAATGTTCAACAAAAACGTTTCGGTAAAAGGGACTAGG